GGCACCGGTGGCTCCCCGCTTGGCACTCGTCGACGTCCTTAAGGGTGGGGGGGGGGGCGAGGGAGAAGGAGGGTAGATAGGGTTAATAGATAGGTGAAGATTTTTTTTTTTTTTGGAGGGTGGGGGTGATTTGTCTTTGTTCTCTCTCTCTCTCTTCCTTTCTCTCTTCCTTTCTCTCTCTCTCTCTCTCTCTCTCTCTCTCTCTCTCTCTCTCTCTCTCTCTCTCTAGATAGATAGATAGATAGATAAGATAGATATAGACAAGTACAGAGATAGCTACAGGCATCTAGATAAAGACAGACAGACACACACACACACACACACACACACACACACACACACACACACCACACACTCCTCTCACTCACTCACTCACACACCACACACACACACACACACACACACACACCACACACACACACACACACACACACACACACACACACCACACACTCACAAACCAATCTTCGCACCTGCCCCCTGTCTCCCCAAAAGGGGCACTTCACTTCACTTCACTTCACTTCACTTCACTTCACTTCACTCACCACGCAAGTCCTGCCATCTGACCCGAGCACGTAGCCAGCGTTGCAACTGCACACAGCTCCTTCCGGCCCGTGCTCGCAGATCTGCTCGCAGCCTCCGTTCCCGGTGTGGCACGGGTTCACCACCTCCATCTCGATCTCTGAGGGGAAGGGGAGTGAAGGGAGGGGCGTGAGGAGAGAATTTTGTCATGACGATGAGGGGAGTGAGTCTTGATGAGGGGAGGGTGAGTCTTGTAACACCATGAGGGGAGGCGAGTCCTTGTAAACACCATGAGGGGAGGGGGAGTGAGGGGAATTTGTGACGTCATGAGGGGAGGGAGTCCTGTAACACCATGAGGGGAGGGGGGAGTGAGGGAGATTTGTGACGTCATGAGGGGAGGGTGAGTCTTGTAACACCCATGAGGGAGGGGGAGTGAGGGATATTTGTTCATGAGGGAGGGGGGTCACCATGAGGGAGGGTGTTGAGGGGAGGGGCGTGAGGGGAGAACGTCATGAGGGGAGGGTGAGTCTGTAACACCATGAGGGGAGGGGGAGTTGAGGGGATATTTGTGACGTCATGAGGGGAGAGTCTTGTAACACCATGAGGGGAGGGGGTGCGTGAGGGAGAAGTGACGTTCATGAGGGGAGGGTGAGTCTTGTAACACCATGAGAGGGTGAGTCTTGTAACACCATGAGGGGAGTGAGGGGGGCGTGAGGGGAGATTTGTGACGTCATGAGGGAAGGGTGGAGTCTTGTAAAGCCATGAGGGAGGGCGAGTTTGTGAGGGGAGGGGGCGTGAGGGAGATTTGTGACGTCATGAGGGGAGGGGGAGTCTTGTAACGCCATGAGGGGAGGGTGAGTCTTTGTAACACCATGAGGGGAGGGCGAGTCTTGTAACACATGAGGGGAGGGGGAGTGAGGGGAGATTTGTTGACGTCATGAGGGGAGGGTGAGTCTTGTACACCATGAGGGGAGGGGGAGTTGAGGAGATTGTGACCATGAGGGGAGGTGAGTCTGTAACACCATGAGGGAGGGGGAGTGAGGGGAGATTTGTGACGTCATGAGGGAGGGTGAGTCTTGTAACACCATGAGGGGAGGGGGAGTGAGGGGAAGATTTGTGACGTCATGAGGGGAGGGGGAGTCCTGTAACACCATGAGGGAGGGGGATGAGGGGAGATTTGTGACGTCATGAGGGGAGGGTGAGTCTTGTAACACCATGAGGGGAGGGGGAGTGAGGGGAGATTTGTGACGTCATGAGGGAGGGGGAGTCTGTAACACCTATGAGGGAGGGGAGTGAGGGGTGTGACGTCATGAGGGAGGGGAGTCTGTTAACACCATGAGGGGAGGGGGAGTGAGGGAGATTTGTGACGTCATGAGGGGAGGGGAGTCCTGTAACACCATGAGGGGAGGGGGAGTGAGGGGAGATTTGTGACGTCATGAGGGGAGGGTGAGTCTTGTAACACCATGAGGGGAGGGGGAGTGAGGGGAGATTTGTGACGTCATGAGGGGAGGGGGAGTCTTGTAACACCATGAGGGGAGGGGGAGTGAGGGGAGATTTGTGACGTCATGAGGGAGGGGAGTCTTGTAACACCATGAGATGAGGGGAGATTTGTGACGTCATGAGGGGAGGGGAGTCCTTGTAACCACCATGAGGGGGGTGAGGGGAGATTTGTGACGTCATGAGGGGAGGGGGAGTCTTTGTAACACCATGAGGGGAGGGGGAGTGAGGGGAGATTTGTGGAGGGGGGTGAGTCTTGTAAACCATGAGGGAGGGGGAGTGAGGGAGATTTGTGACGTCATGAGGGAGGGGAGTCTTGTAACACCATGAGGGGAGGGGGAGTGAGGGAGATTTGTGACGTCATGAGGGGAGGGTGAGTCTTGTAACACCATGAGGGAGGGGGAGGAGGGAGATTTTGACATCATGAGGGGAGGGGGAGTCCTGTAACACCATGAGGGAGGGGGAGTGAGGGAGATTTGTGACGTCATGAGGGGAGGGGGAGTCCTGTAACACCATGAGGGGAGGGGGAGTGAGGGGAGATTTTGTGACGTCTCATGAGGGGGGTGAGTCTTGTAACACCATGAGGGAGCGGGAGTAGGGGAGAGACGTCATGAGGGGAGGGGAGTCTTCGTAACACCATGAGGGGAGGGGGTGAGGGGAGATTTGTGAACGTCATGAGGGGAGGGTGAGTCTTGTAACACCATGAGGGGAGGGGGAGTGAGGGGAGATTTGTGACGTCATGAGGGAGGGGAGTCTTGTAAACACCATGAGGGAGGGGGAGTGAGGGGAGATTTGTGACGTCATGAGGGAGGGTGAGTCTTGTAACACCATGAGGAGGGGGAGTGAGGGGAGATTTGTGACGTCATGAGGGGAGGGGGAGTCTGTAACACCATGAGGGGAGGGGGTGAGTGGGAGATTTGTGACGTCATGAGGGGAGGGTTGAGTCTTGTAACACCATGGAGGGGAGGGGATGAGGGAATTTGTGACATCAGTGGTGAGTCTTGTAACACCATGAGGGGAGGGGGAGTGAGGGGAGATTTGTGACGTCATGAGGGGAGGGGAGTCTGTAACCCATGAGGGAGGGGGAGTGAGGGAGATTTGTGACGTCATGAGGGGAGGGGAGTCCTGTAACACCATGAGGGGAGGGGGAGTGAGGGAGGATTTGTGACGTCATGAGGGGAGGGGAGTCTTGTAACACCATGAGGGGAGGGGAGTGAGGGAGATTTGTGACGTCATGAGGGAGGGTGAGTCTTGTAAACACCATGAGGGGAGGGGGATGAGGGAGGGTCATGAGGGGGAGTTGTGAGGGGGGGAAGTGAGGGGGATTTGTGACATCATGAGGGGAGGGTTTGAGTCTTGTAACACCATGAGAGGGGAAGTGAGGGGAGATTTGTGACTATCATGAGGGGAGGGGAGTCTTGTAACACCATGAGGGGAGGGGAGTGAGGGGAGATTTGTGACGTCATTGGGTGTCACAGTAACACCAGAGGGAGGGGGAGTGAGGGGAGATTTTGACGTCATGAGGGGAGGGAGTCCTGTAAACACCATGAGGGGAGGGGGAGTGAGGGGAGATTGTGACATCATGAGGGAGGGTGAGTCTTGTAAACACCATGAGGGCGAGGGTGAGTCCTGTAAATACCATGAGGGGAGGGGAGTGCAGGGGAGAATTTGTGACGTCGATGAGGGAGTCTTGTAACACCATGAGGGAGGGGGAGTGAGGGGAGATTGTGACGTCATGAGGGGAGGGGGAGTCTGTAACACCATGAGGGGAGGGGGAGTGAGGGGAGATTTGTGACATCATTGAGGGGAGGGTGAGGAGGGAGGGTGAGTCCTGTAATAACCATGAGGGAGGGGGAGTCTTGTAACACCATGAGGAGGGTGAGTCCTGTAATACCGATGAGGGAGGGGGAGTCTGTAACACCATGAGGGGAGGGATGAGGGAGATTTGTGACGTCATGAGGGGAGGGCGAGTCCTGTAATACCATGAGGGAGGGGAGTGAGGGGAGATTTGTGACGTTCATGAGGGGATGGTGAGTCCTGTAACACCATGAGGGGAGGGGGAGTGAGGCGGAGATTTGTGACGTCATGAGGGAGGGTGAGTCCTGTAATACCATGAGGGGAGGGAGAGTGAGGGGAGATTTGTGACGTCATGGAGGGAGAGGGAGTCTTGTAACACCATAGGGGAGGGTTTCTTGTAACACCATGAGGGAGGGTGATTTTGTAACACCATGAGGGGAGGGGAGTCTTGTAACGTCATGAGGGGGGGGGATGTGAGGGAGATTTGTGACGTCGATGAGGGGAGGGGAGTCCTGTAACACCATGAGGGGGAGGGGGAGTGAGGGGAAGATTTGGACGCATGAGGGAGGGGGACTGTAATACCATGAGGGAGGGAGTAGATGACGATGAGGGAAGGGGAGTCTGTAACGGAGGGAGGGGGACGTGAGGGAGATTTGTGACGTCATGAGGAGGGGAGTCTTGTAACGTCATGAGGGAGGGGCTGAAGGAGATTTGTTGACGTCATGAGGGAAGGGGGAGTCTGTAACGTCATGAGGGAGGGAGAGTGAGGAGAACGACGTGAGGGATGATGTGAGGGAAATTTGTGACGTCACGAGGGGAGCATGAGTATGGGGTAGGAAGTGAGGGAGATTTGTGACGTCATGATGGGAAACTCGTAGGGACGACTTGTGACGTCATGAGAGAAATGTGGCGATACAAGATGATTAGAAAAAATAACGATAATGATGGTGATGTTGATGATGATATTCTTCATAATATGCATTATGCATTGTTATCATTATCATTATTATTTTTATCATTATTATTATCATCATTATCATTTTCATTATCATTATCATCATCATAATCACTGTCATCTTTAGTATCTTTATAATCATTATCATTATCATCATCATTATTATTATTACTATTATCATCGATATAATTATTGTTATAACAATAATAATAATAATAATAATAATAATAATAATAATAATAATAATAATGATAATAATTAGTATTATTATCATCATTACTATTACCATTATAATCATCCTCATCATCATTACCATTTTATCATTATTATCATTAAAGCCTTTATCACAATCAATATCATCATCCTTATTATCACTATTATCATAATCATTACTGTCATTATTATCAGTTATCCTTATTATGAATACCAGTATCATTATCACTATTATCACCATCGTTATTGTAGTTATTACTATTATCGTTCTCATTACTATTACCATTACTATCATCACCATCATCATCATTATCAATAATAATAGACATAAAGATAACAAGAATAACAGATAAAGATAAACAAAAAGATAACAAGACTAACAGATAAAGATAAACAAAAAGATAACAAGAATAACAGATAAAGATAATAAAAATAACAAGAATAACAGATAAAGATAGACCAAAAGATAACAAGAATAACAGATAAAGATAAGGACCAAAAAGATAACAAGAATAACAGACAGAGATAAACAAAAACAAGAATAACATAAAGATAAACAAAAAAGATCAACAAGAACAACAGATAAAGATAAACCAAAAGAGATAACAAGATAACGAGAACCACTTACTATAACAGGACCTTCCATCGGCGGCCAGCTGGTACCCCTGATCGCACGTACACGAGTAAGACCCGAAGGCGTTGTGGCACCGCTGACTGCACGTGCCCGGCGTCTGGCACTCGTCCTCGTCGGTGCACGTGCGCTGGTCGTCCTCCAGCTTCAGCCCCCGAGGACAGGAGCATCGAGGCTGACCGCTGACGTTCTCGCACAGGTGCTGACATCCTCCGTTTTTCTCGTGACACGGGTCGGCTGGGTCGCAGCGTCGCTTGTCCGGTCCGAGGGCGGTATGCTGTCGGGGTGGTTTGAGGGGAGGGGAATGGGGGGAAAGGGGAAAAAGGGGCGGGATGGGGGGAAGGGGGGAGGGGGAAGGGGAAAGGGGGATGGGGGAAGGAGGGGAAAGGTTTGGAAAAGGGGGAAGGGGGGATTGGGGGAAGGGGGGAGGGAATTGGGAAAGGGGGAAAAAGGGGGAATTGGGGGAAAGAAAGTGGGTTTTTTGGGGGGGGGGGGGGGGGAAAGGGGGGGGGGAAGGGGGAAAA